TACTTGGAAATCGCAGTATTTTATTGATCAAGTAGCCGGTTCGGTTGAAAAGCGAAAACCGATAAATGTATAACTTAATGACGTACACATAAAAAAACTACTAACTGTGAAAAAAAATATTTAATGCAGTTTACAAGTCAAAAAATGCATCTCTCTGTAAGTGAGCATATGCTGTGATATCATATTGTTCGCCGTACAAAAGCGATTGTCTACACTTCGGCTTCTTCGGGCTCATCTGTCCCCTCGGGTTCCTCTGTTTCCTCCGGTTTCTCTTCCCTCCGGTTCTTCTGTCTCCTCCGGTTCCTCTGTTTCTCCCTCGGGTTCTTCAGTTTCTCCCTCGGGTTCTTCAGTTTCCTCTGGTTCTTATATTTGCACGTGGTAATAAAAGAAATTAAAAAAAAACGAAAGAATTTAAAAAAGAAATAAGTGCATGTCTCATTAACACTGGTGATCTTCATCGCAAATGGGTAACGTGGCAGTGAGGAAAATTAATAGCATAGGCAAGCATTATTACCATTATTGTATGCATGTTTTTTACACTTTACTTCAACCCAAGATTCATCTTTTAGAAAATGTTGCTCTTAGCGAAGCATGCATGAAGTCGGTCTTCCATCCAGGAATTTGACTCAAAATACCGGAATGCCACTTTCAGAAATAGTGACTAAACTACCTTTCTCTTGTTTTGTATTTCATTTTCATTTTTCTTTTGTTTTAAAATAAATTTATGTTAACTTTTAGTTACAATGTTTCAAAGTTTTAATGAATAAAAACAGGTCGACGACAATCACATATTCAATTATCCATGTCGTAATCTTTAACATACAGGATGAATATCGTATCTGTGGTCACTCGTAAATGGATGCTGCCATAAAGTTCTTGATATATATATATATATATATATATATATAAATTCACAGTCATTTTGGGCGAAGCAAATCCAATTTGCAAGTTTAAAACACCTGTTAGTAAGGGGAGATAATTATGTTTGAACACTAAAGTGACGCCACATGCGTCGACGCTTGTCATTTGAAACGCAAAAGTAAAAGTAAAAAACCGTTTAAGCATGTCAAGACCGAAACATGATTATAAACGAGGAAAGGCCTTAAATTTTGATGACACGAAATAGCTAAGACCAAGCTCGGAGTATATAGATGGACGTATAAAACCAGCTACATACGTGCTTATGAAATCATTGAACATAAATGAGAAGAAAAGAACCACCTACCTTGTTGAGGGAAGCCCTCCAGCTGACCCACCAAGAAAACAAGACAAAAAAGAAAAAACAATTTGAAATTCATCTTGGCTTATTCAACCTTCCTCTCAGAATGCTGTTTGGCTTAATGAAATTTTCACTTTCACTGAGCAATTTATAGAAGAGGACCATACTATCTTTATCAATATTAGCTTAAAATCTGAATATTGGGCTTGAGAAAAAAATACACGAAGATTGCAATGAAACAATAACGATTTACGTTTATATTTTTTTGTTCTGCGTAATTTTGAAAATTTCTGGTCGTTCTTGTGGATGGTTCCATCTTTTATCTCTCTTCACCAGTATTAGATTTCTGTATCTGGCTAACGCACTAAACGTGAGTTTGTTTGCTTGGGATCGTTTTAAAAGAAAAAATATTGTCGATAATGCATCTGGATAAAATGGCTAATTATGGAAATAATGATATGTATGAATATGAAATCAGTATTTTTAATAAAACAAGTACATTTAAAAGTAATTATTTAAACTTCTTTTTCTTTTCATGATAAAGCTCGTCACAACAGAGGACTTGCAGGGTCAATCCACGCTCTATGGATTTGATACTAAGTCAGTTCTGATTAACCATGTAAAGGAATTTCTTTCTTACTGAGATATTGACACTAAAACAGCTCACTTGATTGCCCTTTAGCATTTGACCGATTTAAAATAATACAAAAGACCAAAATAGAAATGGCTGCTGACGGAGGACTTGGCAAAAGAATTTCTATTTTCTTAGAGATGTTGCTACATGTTAAACTTATTCAGATTGCTGGCAAATCTACAGCTGTAGTTATCCATTTGGTTTAACAATAAATGGCCCTCAAAGTCTGCCTGATTTTAAGCTTAAAGTTCTTCTGAATGCTTTAGATGTAATCGCGGCAAAACGAGCCAAATTATTTAAACTATAAAATAAAGATAAATAAATATTGACTCGATTTTATACTAAGGTGACTTCTAGTAATGTCATAAAAATTACTCTAAGACCGCATTGCCAATACTGATATCAAAAACATCGCATCACGTGTTGCGTGGAAACGTTGCTGTAAATTCTGGCAAATATATAACTCGTGACCTCATTAGTTATTAAACTTAAAGGATCCTCTAGGCTGCCTTTTCACCCTGCCTAGCTTTCTTTTAAAAAAGTAAGAGACACTTTGATAAATTTTGGTTAATGATAACTTACTTAAATGTTTAATTACGGCCCAAAATTGAGTAAGACAACATGGCCCACTATATTAAAAACTAGTTACATAATGCATCTGTGAGCCATTACTGCTTATTATCAAGTCAAAAAGCTTGGAAGCGCGTTGAAAAAAATATCATGAGAAAGGAAACACAGCGGCGAAGACTACTAGAATAATTCAGCGTCAAATTCTGCCCCTGAACGTTTCAATTGACACTTAATCGTTTTGTAGTTCGATTCTGCATTTATTTGACTACTATGACATCGTCAGTTAGGAGACAAAAAGCGATACCAAATTAACGAACGATTCTTCTCGTCCAGCTGAACGCGGCAAGAAAAAAACATCCTCGCCATATCAAAAAGGCCTGGCTAGGCGTTTTGGGCATTCGTAGTCTTTTTCATTCACCTTTATACAGTATTTTGGTGTTACAACATATGAGTTTTTTTTTTTTCAAAATTTTTGGTATTTGGTATTTAGACACGAATTTATGTTTTTATTTCGATTTAAGAATGTCGTTGGCAAAGTGATCGAAATTTGTTCAACAGAAGTTCGCCAGGGCTTGGGAATGGAAAGGAAAGAATAAACCTCGTGACCGACAGAAGTGCACCAAAAGTTATAAGGCGAACCCGCTTTACGGGCACAGCTTAATAGAGACAGTGGACACTTTTTTCCTTGCCAATCAACAGATTCACATAAAGTCAACCTCGATAATGCGGACACTTCATTGTCAACTGTGTGCTGTAATAAACCTTTCTTTTTTGATGGTTAAAAAACTTAAGTGACAGAATTTCGATGATCCCAACGCTAAAAAAAGAGACAGGATGAATTGAAGACGTCAATTTTATACTATTTTGGAATCAGACGAGTTATGCAGGGAACTTTGCGTATAAATGAAGGACTTTTGAGTGTTTAAGAACATTTTCTGCAGAATGACGGGTTTTTTGAAGGTTAGAGATCTTTATTGGACGATGCTAAATGTCCCGTTCTATTTATTTAGTATTCTTGTTAGAATAAAAAGTGTGCTTTTGATTTTAATATAGACTACAAGAATGACCCGCTTAATCTATGCCCCCCCACCCCCCCGCACCCGCCTCAGTGTCCATATTAACTGGGTTTGACTGTACATTGTATCTGGGTGAATTCATCAGCAGACTTTCCAACCATCCCAATGCCCCAATATGCCATCGGGATTTCAAAAATCCCGATTTTGACATGTGTGCTTAATCTCGATAAATCCGTGCAAATCTTATAATACTTATACCAGAAAACCAAATAGAGTTGTAATCATCTGAAACTGATATTCTAAAGCTTCCATAAATATAACATGTATCGAGCACTTTTCCGCGAAGCCACGCAAAGGGACAAAGAGACGATAGGATTCTTAGCTACATCCCCCATCTTCAAGGGCCTTCTAAATGCGTGGTTATTCCGATCGCGTACATGAGATAATGTTCTTCCAGTTCGAGTGGCTTTCAGTGTGTCAAAATATCGAAAAATATATTCTGGTGTTTTCCACATGTTATGAAAAAAAAGGAACGTTATAAATGAGTCATCTAAGCCCAAGAGAAAGCGGTTCGACCGTCAACTTCAATCTGCACGGAAGTCACAAATATTTCCATAATTCAAAGTCCCTCCCGGGAAAAGTTAGTTTTGTCACTATCTAGTATTGTAAACATTTTTGACTGTAATTGTTTCCTCTCAGAACACTAGAAATGTTGTTTTGGAGCTTCAACATTTCAAAACTTCCTGGGGGAGCATGCCCCCATACCCCCTTGTGGCTCGAGACCTCGAAGCCGCGTCATTTATAGTCTATAGTTAAACAATATCCCAATTTCACCTAAAATGGTTGGACAGTCTGGAGTCTCAGTAAACAGCTGACAAACCATTTTTAGGTCTCCTAACTCCAAAAGACATAAATTAGTGACATCTCCACCTACCATGAATATTTATATTACTTTCTCTACAAAGAAAGCAAAAAAAATTAAAAAACAAAAACAAAACAAAAAAAGGGGTAGGAGTTAACTATAGATAATACTAAGTACAGTAATATATGGAATTAGCACTGCTGTAATATAGTTTAATATTTGTAAGTATTGCCATGTGAGTGTGTAAATTCGCTATTTGCTTGTTTTCTTGTTTTTTTGTTTTCTTTTTATTACTTCATTTATTCTGTGTAATTTTTTTCTTTTTTGTATGTCTTTTACTTGCAATAAGAAAATTAGGTATATGGTATTCCGTTTGAAGACAAATTCAGGTATTCGGTATGAAAGATTTGACACTTTTAAGGTATATTGGTATCTTACGAGGAAAAACTCGGGTATATTGGTATCCCATCATCCCCTTGGCCGGGCTTAAAATCTTTAAAAAGAGTTTTCATTTGAAGATGTAAAAATTATGTCTTTGAGGTAGTGGCTTTGACGGTTGGCGGTTAAATAATTATTAAAAGATAAGAACTTTGTCCACCAAAATAACGGATTCTCCACCAAAATATGTAGGGGTGTGTTCGAGCAACTTGCTCGCTACACGATGAGGAATCAGGAGTCTGATTTACATCTTAATGCCTTTATTCTTCTTCGACTTCTGCTAACATCTTAATCTTCTTACTCTTCTAACTCTTTCACTTACTCACCAACTTTCTTCTACAAACTTCTAGTCCTTATTTCGAGCAGAGTAGCGGTTTTTTTTTGCCAAAGCTGGACATGTTTGGGTTAACTGACCGTGGGAATAAAATTACGGTGAAATCGGTGTGGGTAATGTTTTGGTATGACAGAACCTACATGGTTGTGTTCGGCAAGAGTTCACAAACCACTGAAAAACTAAAACTCTTCGCATGCAAGGGAGGGGTGGACACCTGACGAATTATATATTTGGGCAAATATAATTCACCATTATAGTTTTGTTTTATTTATTTTCCTACCACTCTTCCTGCCGCAAGGATCAGTTTACTGCTCTAATTTTAAAATTTGGTAATTCACAGGTATGCCACTAGCACTGTAAAAAAAAGAATATAGAGAAGGAAAAAAATAAGACAATATAAAAGCTTATTGCAATTAAAATTAAATTGAATAACAGGGTCTCAAGAATTATATAATTGTTATTATATTTTTTTTTTCAGCAACTGACTATAGGATTATTATTATTATTTCTTTAATATTCAATCAGTCACTACGAAGATATATATATATGTTTTGTTTTTCCAACCTAAGGTATTGAATTTACCGACCTACAAAATACATAATTTTGCTTAACTTCCTCATGGTTATCTTTATTCTGATTAATATCGTTTCATGATTTATTTTTTTAGGGTTTCTTGTCACTGGCAATTATCCACTAAGTATAAAAACAATGAACATTTAAAAATGATATAATTATCGATTTGTAAAATCCTTTCTTGTTCAGTCTCAGAAACCTTCAGTATACCTTCAGTTTCCTCAACAGTGATATTGAATGAAACTAGGACTGAAGATAACTCATTGAGTCGGCACCTATTTCATTTTAAACTCATGGACAGTCGTTTAACGTCTCTCAAATGCAAAATATTTAAGTAAATATTTAAGACTTTTAGGGATCCACGGTATACGGTCACTGATGATAATCAAGAAGGGAAAACGAAAAAGAGAATAAATTTTATTTGGTAAAGTAAAAAGCTACTTTATCATCTTCCAGCCCTTTTAATTTGATGAGCTAAACTATTAATTCGTTGTATGTTACCGGAGCATCGATAATGGAGCAATCCGATTGGAAGACAATTATGAACTCAAATATTCAAGCCAAAATTGCTTTTCTGCTTCACTGAGATCTCAGCAGTAATATGGCAGAGAGACACGCGTAATATACGCACTCTGCGGAAACAACCGTTTCT